GGTGCTTCATGACCCATAATTGGGTCCCAAGCCCAACTTTGGGAACCAAAGTGCACTGGTTCCCAAACTTTTCAGCTTTTGACCCACAAAATAACAGTGGCAGAGACCTGTGCCCCCAACTGTTTTTGGATGATAAACATTTGTATCAGGTCAACTAAAGACGGGCATAGTAACTATTTTTATACTACATTTATCCATTTTAAATATACTAACCTCAATCAATTGTAACAACTAAGGCAAAAATGTAATTAATTCAGAAAATCTTTTCAGGACCCCACCTTGAGGTTTTGGGACCCCACTTTGGGTCCCGACCCCAACTTTGGGAAACACTACTCCAGAACACCACTACTGTCCGAGTCTAAAGGGTCAAAGTTTTAATTGTTCAGTTTTTGCAACAAATATGACCAACATGCATTAACGTCCAACTCATCTGAAGTTAAACAATCAGGAAATTGTTACAGATTTCTAGTTGGCTCTGAGAAATTTGTCAAAGCTCATAATTTATAAGTTTGTTACTTTTTTCACCAGGAAAAAATGACTAATCGTTTCAGTAGGCCTGTCACGAAAACAAATTTTACTGGACGATGAATTGTCTCAGAAATTATTGCGATAAACGATAATGATGTCGGAGATCAGTTTAAACTAATATAATGATATAACAACCCCTGTTTATGGAATTTCACATTAAAATTTACATAGCGTAAAAAGACAAAACAACTGTCAGCAATCCCAAGGTGTGGCAGGGTGCCCTGAGCATGTCCTGAGGCATCAGCAGCTGTGTGAAGGCATCAGAAAACTGAAGATGCTCCTCTGGCTAAAGGCCTGTTTATGGGCTCTCATGCTACAGAAGTTAGCGACCGTGCACCTGGTGAATACCTGATGCCAGAGTTCACTTCTCTTTTATGCTAAGAGGTAGAAAAGAGGGAGAAATGAAGAAAACAAACAAGCATGCAAATGAAAATTATTGCTCTCATTTTAATTTGTCAGATGATTAATTGATTTTATGCTGACAGGCCCTACATTTCAGCTCTAATATTGTTTTTTATGACAATGAAGATGTTTTTAATGATGACTCTGACCTGTAAATAAAGAAAAGATTTAAAAAAAAAATTAAAAAGTACCTACCTCTGATTTAAATGGTGAAACTGTCTCCTCAAGTGCGTATGACATAATGTTTTGGTTTATCACAGAACAGCAGTGAGAAACAATCTACTTAAACTGAAAACAAACAATAAAAAAAATTATAATTTCACGAGACTGCACTTTGAATATTCATTGTTTAAAACCTTATAAATACCAAAACAATCAACAATTGATAAAAATGATCATCTAATATCTCTAAGAATAAGAGTGTTGAAGTTAAATAAATTTATTTATAATTTTTAAAACAAACATTTAACTTTTTTCTCAAGACAACATAAGAAATTTTAGTAAATTTGTGATGTTTTTTATTACAACGGTTCTAAGTTTCTTGTTTTAATGAAGCACACTGGTTTATTAGTTGAGTTAGATTATTTGTTTTGCTTGTTTCAATTATCAATTAAATAAACAGCAGCAATCCAAACAAAACTTATAAACTGCTCATCTGGTTGCTTGGAACAAAAATATAGAAATTAGAGGAGACTCAAATTGTCCTGAACACATCAACTCAGCTTTAAACGGACTAAATATTATTGTAAATAAGCTACATGTAAAATAAATAGTTTCAATTACCATGACGTCTTTGTTAAAGTTGTTGCTTTAAATGTATTAAACGATTCATAATATGATGTCACCTGGCTAGCTTTAAATTTAGTCTGAATAACGTAATAAAATGTGTTTTAATATCAGAGTCCACAGGACTTTGTTACTTTCAAAAGGTCTTTTAACAAGCTGATGACATAAACTTCCTCCCAACTTTACCTTCAGCTAGCTAAACTGAGCTAGCTGCTAACACATTAGCCGTGATATGTTTAATTCTTCTGAGACCTTTAAACGAGTCAGAACGATCATGTTGTGATGAACTGGTTTGTAATACATGTATTTAATATAGTAAGTGTTTAGTAAATTATTTGAGTAGTGAAGCATACCTCTGGATATCTCAGGTCGTTGCTTACGTCACAAAAGTACCGTAGCTGACATGAGACTTCCGGTTTCTCCTTCATAATAAGAGCACGGAATTTGCTGAACCTGAAACTGATGGCCAATATGTGGAAACTAATCTAAGCAAAATGCCAACTTAAAGCTAAAAGAGACTTGCTAAAAGTGCTAAAATGTCAACTAAAATGATAAAACACCAGCTAAAATCAAACAGGCATTTTCCTCACATCTTTGAAAACAATTGAATGATTTTTTTTCGATTCAAAAGAAAAAAAATCAACAATCAGAAAAATATGTCAATATTTATTAACAGTTTAATCCATCACAAAGCAAAATATTAATTAATAGTTCCCTGATGCCACATTGTATTTTTAAAATTATGTAAAAATATAAAGAATTGTGTTATAAACATGCAATCAAAATCAAGGAGCCTTCCACATCCATCCATCCATCCATCCATCCATCCATTTTCTGTACACGCTTCTTCCTTTTCAGGGTCGCGTGGGGAGCCTTCCACATTCTAATTCTAATTTTTCTCAAGAACTAAATAAAAAAACTACAATGAAATATGCATTTATAAAATTAATATATCAAGAAAGAATATAAAAGTTGAATGTCTTTATGAATGGATAATTTTGCAGCCATTTAAACTACATTTAATTTTGTTTTAATATTTTTTAATTTATCCTGCAGGCAATCAAAGGGAAACTAATCTAAAATATTTATGTCCATTAGATGCAATTTTCACAAATTAAATATAAACCACATGGACATAATTTTAAAACCTAAAACTAATAACAGAAATCAAATAAAATTTTTGTGCATCTGAACCCCATTTTGTATACCTATAACAGTGATGAGCATCAGAAATGAAGTTTACAGATTTTAACTTCTGCAGCATCTCCAGCGTTTCCAATACAAAAATAAGGAAACAGTTTCTCAGTGAAAGTGTCTCTGTGAGTGTAGATGAGACTCATGTCTTCAGAGTTGTAGAAGGACACCTCCCCCCTGTCGTAGTCCAGCTGGACTCTGATCCTCTGGAGACTCTTCTTCACTGAGACAGTTTTACCAGCACCATTAGTATATCTTCCATCTCCATGACATAAACACCAGATTCCATATTTTGGTGAAAAAAATCTCTCTCCCTTCCTGTCGACTGACTCTTTAACCAAACCAACAGTCCAGCGAGGATGATCTCCCACCTCCACCTCCCAGCTGTGTTTCCCTGAGCTGAAGCC